CTGAACAACATGAGGCTTCAAAAGCTCCAAGAGCAGTGGCAGTTTCCTGAATGAAAGCACCAACATAAAACAAGCTGAGGTGGTCTTTAATAGACAGTGGTTATACACCTTTGTGTGCTCTGATGAGCGGCTCTCTTTAAAGCAGCACGCTGAAGAAGGAGTCATGTTTTACAGGATTATTTTATGTAGGACTCGTTTTTTCTCTAGAACTCAGGATGAAGCTGGTTTAAGGTCACTTAATAAACCAGTAGCGGGTACTCATCTCAGACATTGCCTCATTTCTGCTGAATGCAGACAATAACCATCAGTCGATTTCACACGAGACAGTTTGAAAAAATGATTTCATGCAGAGATCTTGAGCAAACATGTTGTAAACTTGTGCCACTGTGGTTTCCAAGTTGGCAGTTTGTTCATGAACACCTGAGGCAGAATCCAGGACACAGCTCTGCTCTCTGAGCATTGTGCTGAACTTTCTCTTTCTTTTCTTGCCATCTCTTCACAGCCCTTGGCCTGTTTTCAGTTCCTCTCTTCCCTCGATCTGCCCAACATGGCTGACAAACCAAGTCCAGTTTGTGCAGCAGAGTTCAGCTCATATGTGCACAGAGGTTGCAGGAAACATTCACTTTGCTCTGAACAACAGGTTTCTACTGTTGGTTTTTCTGCCACCTCTCTTGTCTTTTAAAGCTTTTTATCATAGCTAACTTTATGTATTATCTATGAAGAGTGCTTCTGAGAGGTTTTTGCCGCAGCTTGTTTCACATCTTCAGAACACTGAGCTGAGGCACTTTGGGAAACACGGTTCAGCTTTAGGAGCCACAGCCTAGCAAAACCACAGAGCTGCTTCCTGAACTGAGGGGTTCACTCTTTGTGGTCAATTCAATTTATTCACTCAGCTACAAAACACCGCTGAGCAGCTCTTTCTCCTCACACACAGACTGCATGATCACGGTAAAAAGACGAGCATGTTGACAACTTTACATCAGCACTTAGTTTGCTAGGTCAGAACACAGTGTGTGAAAGATCAGACAACTTTCATTTCTATAATAACTACACATATAACATTTACCTGACATTTTACCTAATGGCCCCTAAATTTATACCAAGACATTAATTTCCCACTGTCTTCTGAGTCCACCTTAAACAAAGCTTTAAGTTTGGATTTAACAAAACAGAAATCTGCCTTTAAAACCCTGAGTTCTCAGTTTAGACATGTATTATAAGGATTAGTGTTTAACGGAGTTTCTATGAACTATTACTGTTTGAACTCACGGCACTATTATGAATCAATATGTATGTGTTAACCATTATTATCCATTACCACCATTAGATAGATATATATGTGTGTGTGTATAGGCAACACTGATGTGGATCTAAAGAGCAGGCCCATGTTCCTCAGCTGAAATGTGTATCAAGAGGATCGCAGAGTTTAACAAACTTTTCTCACCGTCTCATCATTAGTCGTGGGACACTTAAGGAGTTTGTTATAATTTAATGTTGATTTTTTTTTTATGTAATAATCCTGTAAACTATGAAAAAACCACTTGACTACATAAAAAAAAAGTGTTTAAAACTCCTGATGAGGATCCCTAATGTCTGAATTTACAAGATTTCTATGGAAGAATATGTTTCTGTTCACTATTATTACCCAGTATTTGTAACATTTTAATGATTTTAAGACACCTAGTATGAGAACGTCCCCTCAGGTCAGGGATGTCTGGCTCAGCCATGTCCAGTGTAGACTCACTTAGTAAAACTTGCTTTAATTGGATGTTGATGGTTTCTGTAGTATTTACCCATTAATGTCTGTGTAAACTTTTAATTAAAAGAGCTGACATAACTAAATCCATTTTGATAATGAACACATCTTGGTTAGTTATTAGGAGTTTGTGTTTAAGGAGCTGCCAGGCCTCAGGTGTTAATAACGTGCAGCACTTTGACTTTATTCTGTCACTACTCTAGACAGAAAAACTCTTATATTTATCAGTTCGACTGAGGTGTCGGGGAACCTACAAACACCTCTCTGTAACAGTAAACTACTTGTTTGGAGCACAGCTGTCAAACCCTTCCTAAAATGGAGGCTGTTGTGTTGCGATCACGGACTCTGTGCTCAAACCTGTCATCGCTCTTCAAAAACCCTTCAACCACTACAGTTTATTTCAGGCCAATTAAGGAGCACGTTTGCACACATTTTCCACAAAGTAGCTGCTGCTATGCACTGACTGAACTGGTCTAACACTAACTGGTTTACACTGGCACGTCATACTCTAAAACTTGGCCTGGCTGGTCATTAACAGGATAAGCTTCAGATGTCTAAACTAGTTTTTTGAGGGTGGTCAAACTGATATTTAACGCTGTGAACTTCAGATGGTTGTAACTGCTCTTTTTTGCAGTAGCAAGCTGGGTCGAAGGCCACAGGGTGTCACTTTCCAGTCACCTCCATGCACAGAAACCATCATTAAAGCACCAAAACCAGACCGTTAGTTGTCAAGTTGCAGAGTTGGTTCATGAAGCTAATACTAGTCCCACTCTGGCCATATACCCTTTACCAGTCTCAGATGCACAGTTTACTGGGGCACATTTGTGACATTATATCATTTCTTCCAGCATTACACTGAATTTAGCCAAAGCTGGCCTTTTACAAAGCATTTCACAATCTTCTGACTGGCTCAGAGGAAAGATGCTCCATGCTTCGCGTTGAATTTACAAAAGTGATGAGCAGACAAAACCATTGCTAGCTTAGGTCAAGTTTATTTGTCATTCTAACTCAATTAACCAACAAAAACAAATACAGCTAACAGTTAAGTGAAGTCTTGAGAATAACTGACTAAAAAACATTTCAACATTTCAAAATAGTCAAAAACATTCAACAGACGTGATGCTGAATTTAGCTGCAGTAAACAACTTCTTTAGAAAGAAAGCCTAAAGCCAGACTTCAGTGTCTTCACCCGCGGAGCAGCCTGTTGGTGTTGATGCGCACTCGTTAGCTAATGTGCTAAAGTGTGTGTGTTGGCTGAGCAGCTGCCAAATGGAGCATAATTAGTCGAGAATTACACTTTCTACATGTAAAATCAGCCAGATGGGGAAATGACCTATTTTTGTCAAATAAAGTGACGTTAATGAACTGTGTATCAAAACACAACGACCCAACGCTGTACCCTCCAACATGGCAGCCAGAGAGAAGCCTCTACTGTGTGCATGTTTCCTCAGATGATTTTTTATTGGTCTGAGTTTTCACCCTTTGACCACAAAACTACATTCATATATTTTTACTCTCAGATCAGCCAAACCGTTACCAGCTTCTTCTGTAGGGTTGAGAAAAGTACTGGAAACCTTTAGGCTCCTGACACCTTTAAATAAACCCGATGATCTCAAAACCTTTATCATCATCGGGGTAAAACGGATATTTTGTCTTTGTGCCTGCAGAATCAACACTTTGAACACAGAGCAGACTGCAGTGTTCATCAAACACATTCAAGTCATGTTTTGAACTGGTGCAGTGATGTCCCGTTTCAACAATCAGAACTCTCATTAAAAGGTACCTAATGCCAGAGACGAGATGAAGATGCCATCAGGTTTCTAGTGAAGCTGCCCTGCTGAAAAGCCAGTGCATATGTAACACACCTGTGTTTGGGAGATTTCTGGGTGAAACGTTTGTGTTATCCGAGGCATCTTACCTGCCGGGGAAAGCACTACGGCAAAGACCAGCAGGCCGGATGTCCACATGTGGAGCTCCATCCCAAACTGGTGCGCTCAAAACACAGTTGAATCCTGTTTGGCTGAAGTCACCAGGGGCGATGTGAGGAGACTGAAGCAAGCGTGCGTCTTCCTCTAGTCTTCAAGTGGAACAGGAAGTGGTGAGAGGCTGCTGTGCCAGGTGACACACAGAGACACACATTTTCTATGTCTCCCACACATGAACACACTCTGTGCACACACGTGGAAAAAGAAATGAAGTTTCACATGCCTGTTCCTTTGTGTTTGTGTGACTGTGATGTTTGTTCAGGGATGAAACAGAGCATCAGTCTGACAAATCTTAATCTGTACCCAACTGCAGGAGAAGGTTTGTCTCAGTATCTTCAGAACATTATGCCTTTTTGAGGTGCTTGTATTTCCATTTTGCTACTTTATACTTCACATTTCAAAGAAATATTGTACATTTCATTGGACTACAGTTGTCTGACAATCTCACTTCCTTGGTTAAGATTTAAAACCTATGATCAATTTATATGTTTTACTACAAGTTAAAGTATATAAAACAGTTAAAAGCTATAAAAGTCCTGATTATATTTTAGAACATCACCAATAACGATCCAGTGGCGTACCACTTCATCTACAGTGTGACAGTAACGTGAACATCTTATTGAACTGGTTCATTTCACCCTCACAACTCACTTTCATCCAGCTTTTATATCATTCGTCAAGTTTAATTCATGAGTGCATTTTGTTGTGGTTTTCATCTATCTTGGTGTATTCAAGTACTTTTACTTGAGTAATCCCTATTTCTGCTACTTTATACTGTACTTCTTCATTACTACATTTCAGATGGAAACTACCGTACTTGTTACTGCACTGTGTGTCTGTTTATGATGCTCTGTGAAAAACATCAGATTTTAGACCCAAACCGATTTTCTCAGATTTTAAAAAAATCTGCCAGTTGTTTCAAGATTGAAACCTAAACCTGCCTTATTCTTATCTGTGGAACATCTATAAATGTTTGAATTAAAACCAGGTTGAACTCTACTAACTGCTCTGACGTCAGCAACAGACAAAGTCCTTCTGATTATGGTTTCTGCAGCAGTTTGAAACTGTTTAATAATGTAATTCAAACCAAATCAAAAAACACAATGATGTATGAATAATAATCCCATGATATACTGATGTATATCATGACAGGGCTCATTTGATGCAACAAGACTTAGTTTTGATATTTTATGTATATTTAGCTGATAATAGTATTGTGCTTTTACTTAAGTAGGATTTGAACACAGCACTTTAACTTGCACTGGGGTAGTTTACATTGAGGTATTACTACTTTTTACTTAAATAAAGGTCGTCCACCCGCCATTCATAAAGGTTGACTCCTACTTTTGTCAGCACTTCATTGTGGCAACTTCATTTACCTCTTGTCCTGGTCCCCTGATGTTGGCTGAGCAGAGGACTGGGATCTTCTTCATGAGTTTGTTCCTCCTCCACACCTGGAAACAATTCTTCATCTGGTAACACAGAACTCACTCAGGCACAGAATCATAAACAAACCTGATGCTCTGTGACTCATCACTGTTGTTTCAGAACAGCATTTAGATCATGTTACTTTCTTAGTATGGTTTAAAATCTGACCAAGGCAAACCTTTTAAATACACAAAACAAATAAATATAACATGTATGATTTTTACATCCATCTTGTCAACATTAGTAAACATTAGGTTTCATTAAACCCACAGAGAGGTGAAGCCTTCTTGTTTTTGTCTCAAAACTTTATTTAAACAAACCTTCCATCAATATTTTCTCACAAAATAAAATTTCACAGCAAACTTATTCTGAAAGTCAATATTTACATTCAGCATGAACAAACAGAAAAGCGTAACACTATTCGAATAGAAAATGTTGTTTAATGCCTCCCACAAACAAACTGGGAGTCAACTGCTGCAGGAATGATCCAATTACAAACAACATAAGTCCTGCCTCCAAGGCAGGTTGTGTATAGACCCCCCCGTCAAGGGTAAGCTCCTTTGGATGGGTTTAAAGTCTTCTCTCCTCATGTGCTTATTGGTTTGTAATATCAGCTCTGCAGCTCCCTCTGCTGGTCACACTCCAACTCTGCAGTTCCCTGGCTAAGATACCCGTTTTCACACACATTTATATTTTTAACTTTGACCAACAACAGAAACCTGTGATTTACTGTTAAGTTTTGAGTTTCTTAATTTCCCTCTCACAAAAGAAGAAATATCTGAAGTGACTGATGTATAAGAATGTTCTGGACTTTGATTGGAGGTAAAAAGTAGAGATTAGATGTTAAAGAATAAGTGTCTTCCTCCTTTAGACACTAAACTCCTCACCGGTTCAATCCCTGGCTTCTGAAAAACACAACCATTAACAGAAAGTTAGGAATAATACAAATACTGCCTCATGTTACCTTGATCTCATTCTTGTGTTATTCCATTTGTACCAGTTTAAGTACCTCTAAAGGTGCCAGTACAACCAGTGAAATGCTGCTTTGTCCTTGCCACAAAGTGATGGCAATTGACTTTCATAAATATGCTGTTATTCTGCTTCCACACACCGACATGTTTTTAACTTTAAAAATGCAACGTAAGGACACTTCATCCCTTCTGTTATCACACAGGAAGTGAAACTGACAAACCTTTTACTTTTTATTTGACCAGCTGTCAAATAAATCTTATAAGCTTCACTAGATTTAGGTTTAGGAAATTCCTTTTGTGACTTTCACACATGTGATGACTTTTTAAAGAGCTACTCAGATTAGAAAATGTAATGAAATTGTTTTAAACAGACTTGTGTTGTTGTCTCTAAAACAGTTAGTGCAGAACTACAAACCAAGCATTCAGTACTACAAAAACCAGGAGCTCTTACTGTCAGTGGTGCTTCCTGTATGGTGAGGCTTGGAAATATTCCTCTGGAGTGACGGTCTTCACCCCTCCAAAATAATCCAACACCCACACCTGAAACACGGAACAGGTAAATTAATGAGATTTCCGGCCATCTGATTGGCTGAGACCAGTGATGATGTTAGCAGTAAAAATAGTAGCATTAGTAGTAGTAGAACAGTTTTACTGTACTACTACTACTATTACTGCAGCAGTAGTAGTAGCAGTGGTACCTGTGTGATGTTGAACTTGGCAAAGAACCAGTTATGATCCGACGGCCAGTAGACCATCTCTGGGTGCCGACTGAACAGAGCTGTCTTCGCAAACTCAGCCTCTGTCCCATTTGCCTGGACAGCAGGAAGGAGAAGAGAATCACATGACACCTCAGCCATTACCACCTGGATACACAGGTATGTGTATTTGTACCTCAACAACGGATCCAGACAGGATGATGCGAGCACAGAGGGGACTCTGAGGGTCGAAGCCCTGCTCCCTGCAGTAATCAGTCTGAGCCAGGGACATGGACAGAGATGCCGCGGGGTTCGCCTGGGGCACAGGGGTCATTCCAGCTCATACACACAAGCACATTTAAAACACGATGCTTCAAACAAACATGTACATTTACATTATAGATAGATAGATGCATACATACATACACATATATATGTAAACAACTGTGAAAACTGTCTTTTCAGTAACTTCACATCTGAACAGACTAATAAACCCCATCACTTGACTCATTTGAGATGAACTGTGCCTGGTAAGCAGGTGAGAGCAGGCAGCTGCAGCAGGGGGCGGTGACAAAGATCCGCAGTTAAGATGAACAGTTTAGGAGCTTTTCACCGGCCTTCAGTCTGTACAGGAAGTTATAGAAGTACTCACCTCCTGTTAGAGCTGATCCTGACATAATAAAATGTCATCAAACCAAACTTTTCAGCTTCTACAAACAGCTGATGTTTTAATGACATTCTTCCACAGTGTACAACAAAGAGAGTGATAACATGATGACCTGTGTTGATCTCCATACTGTTACTTCAATACTGCATCTGAACATGTATCTCTTATTCTCTTACACATCAGTTTGCTGTTGTATTTGAGCTGACCAGGCTCGAATTGATATGACACAGCATAAATACATTCACAGCCTTGGTTGATCTGGCAGATATTTAGTCTGCGTCACTTCTGTACAGATCTCGCATGAAAGAATCCTCACATCCCACTCACCAAAGGCTTTTGTGTCTCTTAATTGATACTTCAGGACCTAAATCAGTTCATATTGTAGAGCAGGACTATCAAAAACTGTCTGCAGTCTATGGGAAGTACATGTCATGTACTGTACGCTGACTGCGCTCAGCTTCTGACTGATAAACATCACCATCAACCACACATTTATTCTGTTAACATAACAGACCATCATAGTGCAAATACTAACTAATAAAATCACAATTGCTGCAATTATACAACAAATTATATTTTTCTATAAAGAAGTCTGGTTGTTGATCCAACATCTTAACCAATCAGCTCTCATGTGACTTTAAAACTGCTGAGTCACTCTGTAAAACTGCTGTGTCAGTGGAAAAGTTGCAAAACACTGAACTGCCAGTTTTTTTGTTTTGTTTTTACTTTTCACAGCTAGGCTTCATGTTCAGTAGTCTATGTGTGGTTTTTAGAGAGTGAAACAAAGAACACGGACCAAATTAGACAATAAATATTATGTATGGACTTATTAATAGCTCCAAACACACTGGATGGAGAACAAAATAAAAGCACAATTTACACATAAAACTTTTATAATTCTCTAATGACTGTTAAAATATACACAAAAGAACTAACAACTGCAAGGCACACTATGTTTTATGGATTTAATAAACAAATTTACCTTTTATATGGCAAATTCCTCCTAAAGTATGAAATTAAAAACACGGCTATTAACAAAACACTACATCAGTATTACAGAAATATTACAGTAACTGACCAGTTTGTGGTATTATTGAACACTGCACCATCTGCTACATTAGTAAATTCAGGTTTTTAAATGTTCTTTTATTAAAATATGACAATTACTTAATGTTAGCCTTTATAGCTTTCCACTGTTTCACCAGTAAATTCTGCAGTGACTCTATAGTACTTTCTTTATATTGTGAACAGTACAAACAGTATAAAGTACTACATGAATATTACAAATTTCATAAGATAGTGCGTAGTTTAAATTTGACAACTTTTCAATGGTATTTTGAGGCTTCACACTCCGTTTAGGCTTGTGTAGCAACATTTTACTAAAGCTCCAGGGAATCATAGAAAGCTGGTGCGGTCTCACTAACCCCACACTACAGACTCCCGAGCCCTGTAGATATCAGAGGTAACATTTAAAGTTTACAGAAAGTTCACGATACTTTTGGAAACTAGAAGTAGTAACAGTAACTGCGGGAATCCTACCTTCAGGTCCTGGACGGAGATCTCCAAACGGGTCAGGTACATGTAGGGCACCCCGGAGCTGGAGCCCCGCTGCCCGTCGCTGACCGAGAAAGCGTTGGAGAACGGCTGACCCACCACCGGCTTGTGGGTGGAGATGGTGGCCATGGAAGCCCAGTCGCACTGGTGTGCCACGAAGCGGGCGACCCTGGCCACCTGGTCGTGAGGTGGGATCCAGACCCCGGAGGAGGAGGACGGGGAAAGGGAGGCCCAGAGGACACCGAGTAGAAGCAGGCAGGGAGGTCGCCAAAACACATTCATGTTCGTGTTCAGTATCTGGTGGACAATCGGTGAGACGGAGCGGAGACCACATATAAACAACACGCGGAGTTTCGAAATAAAAGCCTGGCAAGTATAACGTCCGACTATTTTCAAAATAAAAGCTGTGACTTATCCCAGCGGAAGTCCTTCTGGCCAAACGGCCGTATTAGAATTTCAAAATAAAGGTAGTACTAGCTGGTACAATAAAAAGCAGTAGCGAATATTCAGATAGTACGTCGTTTTGAGTTGAATTTTCAAAATAAAAGAAGCACTATACATCCATCCATTATCTATACTGCTTATTTCTGAACAGGGATGTGGAGATGGCAAGAATCAAGCTGACATTGGGCAAGAGGCGAGGTCCACCTGGTCACCAATCTATCACAGGGTTGACTTGTAGACAGACCACACACACACACACACACACATACACATACACCCACACACTCCAAGTATTGTTTTAATCAAGGGCAATTCAGAGTCACCTATCAACCTAAAGCACTGTACCTTACTAAGGAAGTCTCAAATAATGTCTGCACTGGAATTTCAAATTAAAAGACATAATAGATTTAACAGGAAGTCCTCCAAGATGCACAATGAAATGAATTAAATTAATCCTGGTAGATAAAATGATGAACATCTGTCTGTGAAACTGCATTTATGCCAAAGCAAAATATACTGAAGGAAATAAAACCACCATGCAGACAAACGTATTTACAAACAGCATATGCATGTTTTAATTGAGTCATTTTATTTTTAAAAAGGGCATCCTTGTACAGATGCTGAGGTATGAAACCATTTGATTACAACAGAACAGTATATAAATATACATTTTTGTGTTGTCAGCTGGACCGTCTGAACCTTGTGATGGGATTACTGGGCCTGAATCACTTCTTGACCTTCGACCTCGCAGACATCACAAAGGTTTTCCTCAATGGTAAACTGACCCTGACAACTGTCGCTGCAACAAAAACAGGGCACTTCTTGTAGTGATGCAGTTAGCGTCCTGGCAGAGTAATCCCAGGTCAGCTCCGTGCCAGCCTTCACAACCCTGGACATAGAGTTTGTCAATCATTAACAACCAGAACAATGACAAACAGTAACAGCAATCATCTGCTCTTCCTCACCTGCTAGTGAAGAAGGCAATGACGGGGAATTCTGGGTCATGGGAGTCAGTGAAGACATTCTGGATGAACAGGTTCGGCCGGCAGCTGTGCTGTATGAAGCAGAGTCAGCGGTCAAAGGTCAGATAATGTCCGAGGCAGAATTTCATATCAGGTTCAGGTTCTATTATATTTTTTAAAAGTTACTCAGTTTAAAGTCGACTTACATTGAAGAAGCGGCTCACGTTTCCCTCTTTGCTGGCGTCCAGAATGTAAACGTTCTCCTCCTTGGCTGCTCTCTTCAGACACTTCTGTTTGTTTGTCTCTGCCTGTGTGTGGTTTGCTGCCTGCTCGGGACTGGCTGTTGTCATGGCAACATTCTTCTCCTGAGCTTGCAATTGGTCACCTGACAGTATCCAATCATTTCAACTTCAGCAATTTAGGTGAACTTTGGCAATCAGACAAAAACAAGGTTAAAAAAAAAGTATTGTTTTAATCATGTGACCTAAAAGTCCATCTCTGCGTACCTGCTGACAGAGGTGCTGGCTCGAGACCTCCCACCAACGCTCCCTGAACCCGAGGACAAAAAAGACATTTACATTATTATTCATGCAAGTTCACCACACACAATAAGATAAAATCAACAAACATGAGTGTGTCAGGGATGGCGGATAAAACAACCACGTAAAAACAGTCATGACAACAATGATAAACTGATGAGTACTTTTCCCACTAAGGTGCCGTGCTGCACCTGTTTAACACCACTATGCTCTCAGTAACAATGTTTTGATACAAAGGTAAATGAAAACCCTGCCATTCTAGTGTGAAATGTAGTCTAAGGAAACCCAGTTAAATTATCACCACAAGAGCACAGTAAAGTTCATAAGGCTTGGATGAGGAGTCTTTGTTTTCTTACATATGACATTCTTCAATAAAACCACTGTTACTGGTATTTTAGTTCATGTCTGCATGACACCAGAAGCGTAGCTGTTTTTTTTTTGTTGGATTTTAAGGAATTACAGCAGGACTGAAGAAGACAAATTAAAGAAAAATCAAAGAAGCAGCAGATGTTGACCTTGTCTCTGTCCTGAGTTGATCTGGTTGCGGTGTTGGTGTCGGTGGGTCTCTGGATCACTGGGACGTACTGGGAGGGTGAGGTGGACGGGGACACAGGCGGGGGCGTTTCCAGCAGGTTAGTCCGCCCCTCCAGCACTGGTGGGGCCAGCCACTCGGTGATGACCTCCACTTCATCATCTGAGGGGAGGTTGGCCCTCATCAGCTTCGGGGGTGGAACCTTGTTGGGGCTCTGGACCCGTTGCAGGACGACACCTGGAGATATAGCGGGTAAAATTAAGTATTGAACACATCACCATTTGTCTCTCTAAATATATTTCTAAAGATGCTGTTGACATTTTCACCAGATGTCGGTAACAACCCAAGCAATCCCTACATACAAAGAAAACAAAACAAATAAGTTCAGATATTAAGTTATGTGTAATAAAATGGCATGACACAGGGAAAAATTATTGAACACATGAAGAAAGGAAGGTGCAAAAAGGCATGGAAAGCCAAGACACCAGTTGAAATCCATCAGTAATTAGAAAGCAATCCTGCCCCTTGTCAGTGGAAATTAATATCAGCTGGTTCAGTCCCAACTGATGGCCTATAAAAAGGTGTCTCATTACCAAGGTGTCATACAAAAAAAACATCTCATTATGGATAAAAGCAAAGAGCTCTCTCAAGACCTTCGCAACCTTATTGTTGCAAAACATACTGATGGCATTGGTTACAGAAGGATTTCTAAACTTCTGAATGTTCCAGTGAGCACTGTTGGGGCCATAATCCGGAAGTGGAAAGAACATCATTTTGCCATAAACCAGCCACGACCAGGTGCTCCTCGCAAGATTTCTGACAGAGGAGTGAAAAGAATTATCAGAAGAGTTGTCCAAAGAGCCAAGGACCACTTGCGGAGAGTTTCAGAAAGACCTGGAATTAGCAGATACAATTGTTTCAAAGAAAACAATAAGTAATGCACTCAACCACCATGGCCTGTATGCACGCTCACCATGCAAGACTCCATTGCTGAAGAAAAGGCACGTTGAAGCTTGTTTAAAGTTTGCTGCACAACATTTAGACAAGCCTGTGAAATACTGGGAGAATATAGTCTGGTAAGATGAGACCAAAAGTGAACTCTTTGGATGCCATAATACACACCATGTTTGGAGGTCAAATGGCACTGCACATCACCCCAAAAACACCATATCAACAATGAAGTTTGGAAGTTGGAACATCATGGTACAGGGCTGTTTTTCAGCATACAGCACTGGCAAACTTCATATAATTGCAGGAAGGATGAATGGACAAATGTACTGAGACATTCTTGATAAAAATCTGCTGCCATCTACCAGGATGATGAAGCTGAAACGAGGGTGGACATTTTAGCAAGACAATGATCCCAAACACACAGCCAAGGAAATCTCTCAATTGGTTTCAGAAAATGAAAATGAAACTGCTAGAATGGCCCAACCAATCCCCTGACTTGAATCCAATAGAACATCTGTGGAAAGAACAGAGTTCATAGAAGAGCCCCACGGAACCTTCAAGATTTGAAGGCTGTTTGTGTGGAAGAATGCGCCAAAATCACACCTGAGCAATGTATGTGGCTAGTTTCTCCATAGAGGAGGCATCTTAAAGCTGTCATTACCAACAAAGGTATGACGTATTTAATAGATTTCAGTAAGTGTGTTCTTTTCCGCTGTCATTCCATTTTATTACACATAACTTAATTTTTGAACTTATTTTCGTTTTCTTTGTATGTATGGATTACTTGGGTTGTTACTGACGTCTATAGAAAATTTCATGCCATCAGCACCTTTAGAAATATATTTACTGAGGAAAAATGGTGACGTCTTCAATACCTATTTTACCCGCTGTATATTATTAAGTGTTCAGTTAGAAGTAACTACTCAGATTGTTTGAACTCTGTCGGATCAGCGTCATCTCACCTGCGTATATGCAGATGAATGTGCCGCGGTCCAGGTCGTCACGGCAACGAACGCCCCAGCCACAGCCTTCAGTCTGGCAAACCTCAAGCCGTACTCTAATCCCACTCTGCACCAGGCGGTTCTGACAGCGAGCCCGATCACAGTTGCACCACGGACCACACTCATATAGCCTGAAACACACAGTGTGACTGTTTCACTGCACCATAAATACTGTACACATTCTTATTTTACTAGAACTATTGGATGATGATTTACTAATTTATTTAAATCTAACTCACCAATCAACAAGAAATGATTTGAAACCTATTCTGATAATTACTGAACCATTTAAGTCCTTAGGTTTTAACCAAAATGTGTCAAAACCACAATGGTTTCAATGGCTCTAACAGGAATAGTTACTGGTTTTCTTAGTTCTCTGTGATGATAAGGAATCTGTTTCCGGTACAGAATCGAGGCAGCCACCTGTGGCGCCAACTCAACCGATGGCTCTAACCATCGAGGGCAACAGGGGGGTTCAGCGTCTTGCCCAAGGACACTTCAATATGTGGACCGCAGGCACCGAGATTCGAACCTTCAACCTTCCTGTTAGGAGATGACCGCTATACCCACTGCACCACTGTCGCCTCGTATATACTTTTACTGTGAAGTACTTTACATCCTGCTGGCTGGCTGGTGGATTTCCCACTGGGGACCAGTAAAGTCTGAAGATTCTATAGTGGCACAGTGCTTGGCGCTGTGCCTCAAAGCAAGAAGGTTTCGGGTTTGTGCCCAGGGCCTTTCTGTGCAGAGTCTGCATGTTCTCCCTGTGCCTACATAGGTTCTCCCTGGGTACTCAGGCTTCCTCCCACAGTCCAGAGACATGCAGCTTAGGCTGACTGGCGACTCTAAATTGCCTGTAGGAACGAGTGTGAGTGTCTGTGGTTGTTTGTCTACATGTCAGCCCTGTGATAGACTGGCGACCTGTCCAGGGTGGACCCTGCCTCTCACCCAATGTCAGCTGGGATTGGCTCCAGCCCCCTATGACCCAATTCAGGAACAAACGGTATAGATAATGGACGGATTGATTCTACTGTGTTTGGTTTGAGTCATCTGATTATCAAATACATGTAGTGCAGTACAATGTACAAGGTTTGTCTCTGACATGTAGTGAAGTCCAAGTATGAAGTAGCGGGACATGGAAATACCCAAATAAAGTACAAATACATCAGGATTGTACTTCAGTACAGATCTTGAGTGAACATAGTTAGACACTTTCCAACACTGGTCCTACCCTGACGGTACAGGCTTGCTCAGCCTGTGATGAGTGTAGTGGCGTCCTCCTCTGGTCATTGCGATGCAGGCACAGAGCTTGGCGCTGGTACAGCCGTCGGTGCAGTCACAACAGGCCTTGAACAGCATCGGACTGCTGCTCAGGAAGCAGCCATGGGGCCAACGGTCCTTCCTGTAGCGGAAGTCTGCAGGCCGAGCGCTGCCATCCCCCGCACACAGCTCTACTGGTGTGGGCTCCATGCCCCAGCTCAGGTCCAGCTCCGTCCGTTGAAGGCCTGCCATTGCAGGAGGATCCAGTCGAACACAGGGGTTAAAGGTGAAGAAATCCACCTGCAGGAAATTGTAAGCAAAGAAATTGCGCAGTGAAAAGTCCAACTGTAGACCTGATTTTTAAAGTCCCCCTCTGCTCAGAAACTCATGTGAAGATTAAAATTCATCTATAGATTCTTCATTTTTCAGCATGTGAGGAGAAAATGTAATTATTAACAATTTTAGAAAAGGTAACTGAAGTATTTTTATGTAAAAACAATAAAATATCAAAGCAGTGTAATCTTATGATTAAAATCATCTCAGAGGGGTTAACAAAAATTTAAACTGCAGTTGGAAGATGCAATTCAACTCAGCTCAGTTCAGTTCACAGACAGACCTTCAAAGCAACTAAGTATATTTTGAAACAGCTGTACTTCTCCAAGTACTCCTTCCAGCTGACCTGCAGGATGTCGTAGCTCTCTGTAGCCAACAAGAAGCACATCACATCATCATGGTTGCGGAGGCTCTGTCCACATGGTGCTTTGTAAACTACATCTGGGTCCTCAACACCGTCGTCCTGCGCCTCCTCAGAGATCGCAGGTGCCATCACCTTGAGATCACAGGCTCTACCCCCTAAGGATGACATCGCGGGCATGGCGGTCAGCCTCTTAAAGCCACAGAGCAGCGGCACCTTAAGAGGGTTCTGACCCCAGAATGGAGGCCTGGACTCAGACATGCTGGGTAAAATGGGCAGGCAGGCCTGGATGGAAAAACAAAACATAATTAGAAGTAACACTTACATACAGTTTAAAATGTGGACATGAAATAAAAATAAAATAGGTTAAAAAAAAGCTATCTGATATAAGAAAGGAGCACATTAAAAAAAAAAAAAAGTATTCACCCATTTCTAGCATGTGATGCGTGTTACCTTGCAGCAGGAGTGGAACTGATACTGCAGCTGGACGGGGGCCAGAGGAGACAGCAGCTCCTCTCTGTCTGCAGAGGGCGCTGCAGGGCTGCACAATCCATTAAAGGAAGGGAGGGGGGAGGTAGTAGGACTGTGGTGGGTGAAGCCAGGTGGCAGCAGTTCAGCTGTACAATTGATAGATAGATAGATAGCCTGGTAGAAATTCAGAATCAATGTAATGGTAGTACTGATTCATACTGGTGCCATGTAAAGTTTCATTATAAAAGTCTGTGTTTACCTGAGCCAATGACCACCTGGACCACAGACAAGTCTGGACTAGAGACCGGACGAGACAAGTCCAGGGACTCCACCAGCTTCAACCCCTGAACCAGCTCTGATGAACAAACAACACAAACATCACAACAGGAAACACAACTCAAAACTTGTTTTTTTAACATAGAGGTGAATTTTTTGTTAAAGGCTGACCTTTGTCTGTTGCTGTGTTCTTCTTCAGGACTCTCTTCAGGTGATTCAGGTACTCAAAAACCCCAGTAAACACCTGATCCACATCCTCCTCAACCCAGAAGCTTTTGGCCCTTTCTGAAAAACAGCACAGGACCGATTTTCATTATTACTCATAATGAAAATGGTTTTCACTGACTAATAACACCCTCTTGCCTTGTTACTGTTAAACATAAGTGTTTATTATGTGGTGGAAGCTGAAATATGAATATGACGACTCTGAAAGGGTTTTGAGGAATCTATAGTTTCTTTTGACACATACTGTATTGTAATACAAAATACTATTAAGAAATGAGCATACAAATAAAAAAATATTGTGCATCACGCCAATGTGAACTTGTCGGCCTTAGAGATTTTAGTTTTATTACGTATAGCTCATCATTTCCTTTCTCCATATAAACCACATTACACCAGGTCTACATAAAAAGCACAGGATTAAGGTTTATGAGACCTAGGCTGGGTTAACATGGGAACCAGTTTTAGACGCGAATCAAAAGCAAGAATAAAACCCCACAAAATGAACAATAAGCACATGGTTCATCTGTATCTGCTGCTGGTTTGGGGTTGTTAACCTTCGTTATCACAGAGAAATCATCCGTGAGGTTCATGCATGCGGCTTATAAGCATTATAAATTTTCAATGCGACAAAACCATTTTTTTTCTTACCAACATCTTGTGGATCTAATGAATCTTCTTCCATTTCCATCCGAGACAGAAATGTTAGCATGCTAACACTCAGCTAGCATAAATGATCAGCCAGCTTAGCCGGCTCGCTAAAAACAAAAATCTTAGAAACTTGAACAAAAATGTGAAACAGCGGTATAGATACTTTAACTAATAACTGACAAATAAGCCAAATCACCCGAGTAGATAAGTTAAAATAAAGTTATCTAACGGTATATCTCAAAGGATACCAATATAACAACGTTAATATGTATTCATTCATTCAATTAACCACCGTAGCTAACAAGCCCTAATTTGCACAACATGAACGCTAGCGGGATCATTTTAAAGCATTTTACCCACTTATTGCTATGATAATTCGACGTTTAAAATGTCTACACTCTCTGCTATCACTCTCTCCACTGAAAGTTGAACTGAATTAACGTTTTCGTGATAACTTGGTCCACAACGGCCGCCGTAGTGAATTGTATGAATATTCCCCGATTCTTGTCTTACAGGCAACAATTTTAGTTAAATGAAAATTCCCCGATTCTTGTCTTACAGGCAACAATTTTAGTCAAACATTGTTAAAAGCCAATTTAAACATCAGCGATTGTGAAGACAGACATGCGCTGGTGCACTACATTCACACAAGAAAAAAGAGCTGTTATCTAGTAATTATGACAAATAATTATGAGTTAATTATCTCATAGTTGCAATTAACTATCTCGTAAAATTATACGACAGGGAATGGAACGCTTCAGAAAACAACATGAAAGAAGATAAAAGTCTCTGACATGCCTTCATAGTTTATAACCACAGGTTTTCTTACCGAAGTGTGTCTTCCTGGAAGTCCTTGGTGAAGGTAAGTCACAAAACATTGAAGATATTCGTTTTTTTGAATTGACCCCAATCGACCACCATACTGCACGTTCGTTCATAAAATGTAAACATAAACAAACGTCGAAATGTCATAACTTTGTAACAGTCGCTAACTTTACGTGACCTGTCGTGTCTCAGGAAACATATACAGATTGTCTCCGCTTTTACCGGGAAACGTACTTTGAACAGTTATTAAGTTAGCGGGACGCGCTAACGTGAGGCACTTCCTGTACAGTTTTGTAACAGTGTAATAATTAACTTGTGTAAGTTAAAATGCGGACTCATCATCATCAGAGAGCTGGTGCTTTATGAAAGGTGGGTTAATTTAATCTTATTAAAACACATCCACTTTAAAATTACCTTCTTATAGGCTGCTGTACGTATAGACTCAGTTATAAAGACGGCAGTCACTGAAACGATCCCGTTAATCTGTTAAAACACTTTTGTAATTTGAATCTTTTTTGGTCTTGAGTGATTCAGCAGGTAAAGACAGGTGTGTAAAGATTTTCAGCTATTTTTATAATTGATTAATTCTTTCAGGTCAAGTTTTTATGCATGACATGGAATTTCTTTGGCATACACTTGAAAAATATAAATAACAACAAAACTAAATTATATATACATTTTGTATTAATTGACAACATACAAAATGTATATATTAATTTTGTATTAACTGACAACATACAGCTCTATTGAAGGCATCTCGTCAAAAATGAGTTAAAGGTAATTATGGTTTAATTTGACCAAATAGGATTGTCAACATCTAAATCTTTAGTTTAAAGATAAAATTTTGCCTCAGCATCTCATATGTGTATAAGTTTAATAAAAGTGTTTTTAAGTTTCTCATTCCTAACTTGATTTGTCTTTTCCTGGTGTAAATGTGTTTGTGTGCACTGTGTAGAAGTAAAGTGGGTGTATCCCTGCGGGTGAGATGTGTCAGACGCCCCGGTCTGTGAGCAAGGTGCTATGGGCCATGTGTGTGGCAGACTACATGCACATGCAGTCCACTGGTGCTATGACATCCCTGACATCAGGAGGGACTTCAGAGGCTGGATATCAGACTTCAACTCACCCAGAAACACATAGCTGTCCAGCATCCTCAGCCTCTCCAACACTGGTATGACTGGTGAAGTTTTACAGTCTTGGAAAATCATGGAAAGTCCAAGAGAAATGACAAAACTCAAAAGGAAATTACGTCTGGTTTTGTTGGATGCCTGGACACCAACAGCTGTCTTTTTAACAGAGCTGATTAGTGTGAAACACTCATTATTCTCAATAATGAATGTATCAGTGATCAGACTCAGCAGCCAAACTGGTTTTTAAATCAATGAATCAGACTTGATTTACATGGCACCCTTCATACAGGTTCATGCAATTCAAAATGCTATTAAAGATGGATGCCCTGCACTCTGGAAACTAAAGAAAACTAAAAGACTCAAAGTGCCTGATGACATGAGAGACCACCCTGGTTCATACACTGGAAGCATGTCAGACAAGTAGCTGCTACAAGTGCTTTAAAAACAAGTAAAATTGTTTTAAGATATATACAATATTAAAGTCTTATATTGGCTCCAGAGCAACTCTTTTGCAAAGCGGCCTGACGTGGTCGGAAACATCATCCTCTATGACAAGCTGAACTTAGGGCGCTCCTCCAGAGGATCAGTGCACTATTACCAAGGTACTGCCGTTACTGCCTGACACTGAGCTCATGTGTCGAATGTTTAAAATATCACAGTAAATGGTTTTATCACAATATGACATCCTGCTCTTCTGAAAAGCTGAAAAACATTGTTAAGCACAAGCCTCAACTCCATGTTAATGAACAGACAAGTCCAAAGCAGAGGCTCGTCTGTCTGCACATTGTTTGCACAAGCAAAACATACATTTTCACTGCATTAATTCTGAATTTTTGTCTGTTAAAACTTTAGATTGTTCTTTAACTCTTAAATATGAATGTAAGCTTCAGGAATCCAATATCTGGGCTCTGCAGGTCTTCAGGCTGGTGACAACACCCTCAACATCCTGTGTTCCCCCCGAGCAGCTCGCTTTCTCATCACTGGAGGTTTCACTGATGTGTCTCAGATTATGTTCACTTCCTGACCACACCCAGAGTCTTTCCACCGCTCCTTCTTTACTGACTGGCAGGAGAGCAGACCAACCTCGCCCCCACAGGTAAATCAAACACACCCTGTCATGTTCCATCTGTTTGTAATTCCACATCTGTTTTGTTTCACATTGTCCTCAATGTCCTCCCGATTCTGGCATTTGTAGAAAAAGCTGAACCAGTGTTTGGACTCACACATTACAGTGAGGACACCACATTCACTGGTGCTGCTGGTCTCTGGACGGGGTTTGTGCACAGTAACACAAACATACAGAATCAGCATCTGCACTTTTGAAGACCTGGTGAAAGCAGATTACCCCTTTTACCTATTTTTCATCCATTTGATTTAATCATTTCTTCAAAATCCTCATTCTTAATGTAATGAAATAAATCATATTAATATCATTCTGTAGGGGTCACTGAGTATGCAGTGCTTTGACCTGTAATGTCCTGTGTGGTCAGGTGTCAGCCACAGTAGAGTCTGTGAAGCGAAGCCATCCTTACCTCAGAGTGTCCGAGTACGTGTTGATCTACAGCCAGGCGCTGCACGGTGTGCTGCAGGGAGCCAGCATCCACTTGCAGACTGAGCTCACTTTGAGGAGGCTGGGAGACCTGCCTGAGCTACAGTCGCCAGGCCGCCAGGTCTGAAAACACAGAGGACTGGGTGAAAAAACAAAATCCATCAAACACTTTGCTTTTTTAGTGTTTTGTTTTTGTGGTGACAAATCAGTGACTGATGTGCTATTATCATTTAAAATCTGACCAACACATCTTTTTATAATTTTCTATTTTTTATTTTTTGAAGCACCACCAGCCTCTAAATGAATGAATCACTATGTTGTCTGCACTTTGCTTTTATGAAAAATAAGATATATAATCTGGACTATCTCGATGTATTTGTTGAACATCCTGTCATAAAGAGTCCCATTTGTTTTTTGTCTGTTTTGGATTTTGCTTTTCACATAATTTATTTTTCTCTAAAAGTATTTTTACTAGAAGTTTACACTATTAAAGCTTATATATAAATGTAATTTAAAATGTATGGCCACCATCAGCCAGGTTAATGATCTACTGAACATCAGAACAAATTTTTATTTTTCCTGTTGCATCTCACCTTCAAACAAACAGGACAGCTTCTTCCCCTGGGCGGTCACTCCGATGAACACTTAACCCATAACTGTATAACAGTATACTTTTGTATATATCTATCTGGAAAACTCCATCTAAACTGTGGGTATATACAGATAATGTATATTCTATATTTATGAGTACTGGTACTTCATTTATTCTTTTTCTTGTTCTCTCATTCTAGTCGACTCGTTGTACATGCACATTGAGACCCACTGTACTGGAGCCAAATTCCTCATGTGTTCAACACACTTGGTCAGTAACGCTGATTCTGAAACAAACAATTGTATTCAAAAGTTTGGGTAAATTAAACATTTATTTTTTAAGTGAAAAGAAGTAAAGCAATCTTCTACAAATACATTTCAAGAAATGAATTTTATTTAACTGTCAAAATTGTATGTATTTTTTCTTTTTATGTGCAAAAGTAAATAGCCTACAAATACCTCAAAATTGTACTTAAATACAGTACTAATAAATAATTGCATTCAACTTTACTGGTTGTGGGATTAATGTAGACCAGTAAAAAGTACTGTATTTTACTCTGGAATGTTGTGGAGTAAAAGTATAAAGTACTATAAATTGGCAATACTCAAGTAAAGCAGATAAAACTAGTAAACTAGCAAAATTAGTACGTACTAGTAAATATACTGCGTACTTGTGCCCAACATGATGATGGGGAAACAGCGCCGCCTTTGGTGCCGTTGTGGTCAGAGGGGGTACTGCAGGCGGAAGTGCTACACCTGTTGAAGCGTCTCTTCAGTTTAATTTCTCCACGCAGCAACCTACTACACCTGCAACTACACACTTGGGGAGTTTCTGGAGACTCACCTACTGCTTGGGCCTTTGTCAGGCAGAAAACAGAAGGTTATGGATAAATTAAAGAAGGTTCTGGGCGGTCAGGATGATGGGAACGCGGATGGGTCAGGAATACTGGAGGTGAACGGAGCTAGCATCTGTTGCTGTTATTAGCATGATATATGTAACCTAAAGCCTATAACATATTATTAGGATGATACTCACTGAAATAAGATGCTGGCTAAAGTAGTTAATGTAAAATTATTAGAGGTTAATCCAGCTGTTTCCAGGGGTAAATTACTTCAGTTCGGTTGTAACTGCTGCCATTTAACCTATTTACACAGATTATAGTTTTTTTCTATTATAGTATTATTTATTCCAGTTTTGAAAACAATAATTATTAGCAGCCATATGGCTTAGATTTACATTCGTCTCTACTTAATCAACTCAAAATGGCCATAAAACGAATTAATGGAGAAAGTGAATACATACATTTGACGTCTTAACCCTTTAATGTCTGTTTGTTTTCCATTATCATTAAAACATGAAAGGATATCTTAAAACATCTTTTTATTGTTATTTATTAATCTTATTACTCTCTGTGTTTGTTGTTAGTAAAAATTAATAATAAGACAATTCATAATTTATAATAACTATTATCCTGTAATAGCTCCACATTAGTAAACATAGGTTAATGTGTGTATTTTGTCTGTGTGTGTTTTCCACTGGCAGTTAACAGTTTTTCTTCCTGTGCTTATGTGAACCTGCTCAGTGAGATGAAACTGTCAACATTTCTTTTAGCCTGAAGGCATCTTTCTTTTTGAGTGCTCCTGCTGGTTTAACCATTTGATAACAAAACACTTCCTACATGTCACTCTCCTTATCCTGTTTCAAAAATACCCTATTATTTTTATTATTGGTTGTTTATTGATATATTCTGGTTCCAGACAGCCATTTGTTTCGTTTTTTTCTACAGAAAATCAACCTGTAGAGAGACGGGTCATGTTACAGGTTGAGTTCATCATGTGGACACCTGCATTTATGTCTTTATTTTAGTCCAAGCTGTGGTTTTTCATGTGATCTTCATGTAGTTTATTTGCCAAAACCTTTGAAGTTGTGACTTTTGATGACGACAATGACGTCTCTGCAGAGAGTCAATCAGGCGTCGACTCTGGGCTGTGGGACCAGGATGAAGGGCTTCGCAGTCTGCTTTTGTTTGGGTGCGTTCTGCTCTATCCTGGTGAGTCGGTGCAACTGTAACTTAGTGACTTCCATAACACTGCCTGTTTCTATGGTACCAGCTAGCCTGGCTGTCTTTTCTGTATCCATGGCAACAGCTTGCCTGTTTTTGTGTCTGTTTCTTTGGCAACAAGCTGTATTGCTTTCTGGTCTATATCCATGTTAGCAGCCTGTGTGTGTCCTCCTTATGTTTCCATGGTAACGTCTCTTCTTGTCTTGCTTGCTGTCTGTTTCTGTGGTAACAAATTGTCTTTTTTTCCTGTGTGTATCCATGGTAACATCATGTTTATTTGTTCTGTCTTCTGTTTCCATGGTAACATATCCCCTCTGGCCATCTGTATCCAAGGTAACAGTCTGACTGTCAGTCTTCCTTTCTGTTTCTGTGGTAACAGCTGGTGTGTCTCATTCTCCTGTGTCTGTGGCAACAGCCTTTATCCTCATCTGTATCCATGGTAACAGGCTGTCTCTGTATTCAGGGTACCTGTTTGCTGTGGATACCGGGCTTTGGTCTCGCTGTGTTCGCTGTTCTCTACACTGTGGGAAACATCTTCTCTCTGGCCAGGTACCAGCCAGAACCAACCTAGTCTGACCCGGTCTAACAAGTTCCAATCACAGACTCTGTTAGTCCAGATTAGGCAGAGTCAGGTCAAAAGAAGAGTAGCAGGGTCATTGTTTCATTTCACAATAATTCTGTTGATCAGAAACCTCTTACAGTCCACTATTGTGGAGGAGTTACATTACCCATCATCCCTGTGGGCCTGTGTTCAGCTCAGTGTCTCTGCTTGGTCTTAAGGAAGGAGACATCACCCTCTGGTAGTGGGAGTCACCTCTCCAGCCTCAGGTTTAACTTGTAACGCGTTAAAGTTTGTACATCTAAAGTTTTATCTTTTTTAATGTGATTTCAGCACCATGTTCCTGACTGGTCCGTGCAGGCAACTGAGGACCATGTGCGCTAAAGAGAGAGCGCTCGCCACGATCATCATGCTGGTGAGAGCACACACATAACCTCCAACATAGAGAAAGAAAAGCGTGACAGTAGACAGCAGACCTCAAGTAAAACCCAATGAATCCCAGGTGTCACTCTGCAGACCTGACTGATCAGTTCTAAATCAGTTCACTTTGATTGATCGTCCATGTTGGCATTGTGTTTCTCTGCTGCTGTCTGCAGGTGTGTCTGGCGCTGACACTGTGCGCTGCCTTCTGGGTGAGAAACACAAACACAACAAATAGCAGTACAAATTCTTCACAAGGAACAGTGAATCTCTGTGAGAGTATGATGAGATGATCAGATTTACTGATACTGATAAGAGCTGGGTGAGAAAGACAATGTTTTGGATGTAATACTGTACATCATGAGGTGATTCTGAAGATATGCCGCGCTAAAAGAATATGTCCTGTTACTAACTCTGACGCAAACCATCCTATTAAAACATGCCAGCAGATTGTCTGCTTCTTCTACACAGTTATTTCTTTAAATAAAGTTGCAAGAAATTCTGAGCAGAATATAAAAGAGCTTTTATTTTGAAAGCAGCTTGTAAATTTTTTTTTTTAAATATCTGTTTTGTTTTTCTCTCCAGTGGAAAAATAATGGACTTGCTCTGCTCTTCTGTGTCCTTCAGTTTCTTGCCTTCACCTGGTAAAACTGTCAGATATGAACATGTCAATACCTGTCTGTCTGTGTCACCTGTCTAACTGCTGCTGTCATTCATCACAGGTACGGCCTCTCATACATCCCCTTTGCCAGGTAACACACACACAGCTACACTCACGTAGTATGTCAGAGTCAGGCTCGGTGGCGTCACTGAGCCCATCTCTGACTGCACTGGGTCCCAGTTAGGACACTGGGACTGGTTGGGAGAAATACCAGTGACAGTTCACTTGGTTACATGGGATGTGTTGTCAGGAGCAAAGACTGTTTTAATGAGAAATCAGAGTCATACAGGATGAATAAAAGGGGAAAACTGGTTTTCTGGTTTTGGCTTTTTTCCTGTTCACAGTTTCACCTATTCTTGTTTTTTTTTTTATCTGAAAATCACAACTTTTGTCAGAACCTGACAAACTAGGTTGGCTAAGGATCACAAGACACACTTGTCTCCTTTCTTTGTTCCATTCTCACACGGTGTATTACGACTCTTTCATGTGACTTTAGTTGTTTATCTGCAGTGGATGTGATGTAGCAGAGATCATAGACAGAAATGGTAAAGATACTGACAGAACAACTGTGTGACAGTGTGCGATATCTTATCAGGGGAACGTCTGCCTTTTACTGGTTGAATACACTTTTGATCATTTTAAAACCATGATGAACAATAAATAGCACAAATAATGCACCTAATAATAATAAAGAGGAAAGTCAGCATTCTTACAGCTTCATTTTCATATTTTTACTTTATAATTAAAGTAATTAATATGCTGGGCATTTGATGTTATATATGTACAATATTTTAATCATCATTAATGTGTCTTGTGTTTGTGTTTCAGGGACGCCGTCATCAAGTTATGCACAATCTGTGTGTAGATGTCTCCCCCTCCTGACCAATCAGGATACAGGATTGGTTTCAATCAGCAGGGAGCAGGACGGCCTTAAACATTTCAGCGTTAAAACCAGTGTAAACCAGGACTGATCCCAGTTCCCAATTAGTGTTGTTTCACTTATAGCAGCTTAAAACCTGTTACTGCTTCCTGTTTGTTTCACCTGGACTCTCACCTGAACTCAGTCTGAACCTTCAGGAACTTTCTGCTCCCAATCCCGATTCTGTACCCATTATTTATATGATTTATGTTTTTTCCGCAGCTGCACAGTTTACACTTCAGGGAGGAGGGTGTTTTAATTAGTGCCTGTCAATCAGAACCAAATGAAGTAGCAATAATTGTAAAACCTTGTATTTTATAAAGCAGCAACTTTAAAATCACAGTAAACAGAAAACATAAAAGCAAGAGAAGCAACAGAAACCTGATAAACACGGTGAGACCTTACATTTACAGAGAGGTTTAAACACACGAGTCGACAGGAATTTACATACTGCTGAAATCTTTTACTCAGAAATCTTTGAGTATTTTATGTAGAATGTAGGTAGAACAGTAGTGATTAGTTGATTAATCAGATAATCAACAGAAAATTAATTTTAGATAATGTTTTTGTAATTTTTAAGCAAAATGTTCCAGTTCCTAAAACATAAGGGTTTGATGCTTTTCTTGGTCATATGTGATAGTAAACGGCTCTGGGTCTGGACACAAGAAGACGTGTTGTAACTTGGAATGTGGTAAAATATAAAGGGCATTCTCAGTGTGTTGTGACATAGACAAAACAATGGACTAACTGAGAAAATAATTATTAAAGTAATTGATAATGAAAGTCATTGTTAGACTCGTGACCAGAAATGTGCGGGTGTGTGTGAATCTGTGTGCATGAATCTGTGTGCACACCAGTGCTTTGTAAATCTACATCACTGTGTATGAGCCTCATTTCTGCTCCAACAGCTGGACATAAATGGAGGCAGGCAGGCAGATCAGTCCGTCTGTCTGCCCCACCGCCTGTTAAACAACAGACGTACCAGGTCTGTGCCTCTCTAACCTCGACTCAGTGTCTCTTCTACTCAGTTCGACTTCCAGATAGTTTCACTAAAACCTCACAGCAAAAACCTCCGACTTCACTGCATGAAACAAGACGAGTAACAAATGACAGGATGATCCAACACAAAGAGTCTCAGTGAGGTGCTGGGCCACCACATACCACCAGAACAGCCTCACCTTGAACGGTGTCCATCCCACTCCCTGAGGGATGGACACCGTTCGTCCAGCAGATGTTCCCTCATGTGGTGTTTTGATGACGCTGTCTAACACGTGGCTCCAACATCTCCCATAGCTGTTCACCTGGGCTGAGACCTGGTGACTGTGAAGGCCACAGCATCTCATTCAATCATGGTCATCCTCATCAGACCAGTCAGCGAACAATCATGTCCTGTGGACCCTGGAGGAGACTGCTCACATACTCAGGGGTTTCCTCTAGTTTGTCACTGTCTGTACATTCACTGGAACGATTTAATAAATATTTAAGTATCAGTGTATGTCAGCAGTTTGTATGACACAAAAACATATTAACAGTGTTGTGACATTTACTCAGGTACTGTACCTAAGTACAAATTCAAGGTACTTATACTTTGAGTATCTCCACCTCATGATACATTATACTTTTACTATATTTATCTGACAGCTGTAGTAACTTTGAACATTCAAAATAATATTACAAAATATGATCAACAAATCCACCAGCATGTATTGCTATAGGTTTAGATGAATTCAGACTTTATTGATCTCGATGGGAAATCCACCAGCTACCCAGCAGGATGTAAAGTACTTCCCAGTATAAGTATATAAGGTAGTTAACATCAGCTCCACCTTTACCTGCTGCAGCATTAAAGTGATGAACACAGTAATGTATCAGTCACTATGATCCAGTATCAGAGACATTAATGTGACATGGACCGTTCTGCAGGATGAGTACTGGTACTTTTGGATACTTTAATTAGATTTGGATTATTATACTTTTGTACTTAACACTTCGAACACAGCTTTTACTTGTAACAGAGTATTTCTACACTGGGTTTGAAACTTGTACTTACAGTGGGTACAGAAAGTATTCAGACCCCCTTAAATTTTTCACTCTTTGTTATATTGCAGCCATATGCTAAAATCATTTAAGTTCATTTTTTTCCTCATTAATGTACACACAGCACCCCATATTGACAGAAAAACACAGAATTTTTGACATTTTTGCAGATTTATTAAAAAAGAAAAACTGAAATATCACATGGTCATAAGTATTCAGACCCTTTGCTCAGTATTTAGTAGAAGCACCCTTTGGAGCTAATACAGCCATGAGTCTTTTTGGGAATGATGCAACAAGTTTTCACACCTGCATTTGGGGATCCTCTGCCATTCCTCCTTGCAGATCCTCTCCAGTTCTGTAAGGTTGGATGGTAAACTTTGGTGGACAGCCATTTTCAGGTCTCTCCAGAGATGCTCAATGGGGTTTAAGTCAGGGCTCTGGCTGGGCCATTCAAGAACAGTCAAGGAGTTGTTGT